AAAGCTTACAGTATCATAGTTTAAAACAAAAAAAGTAATTTTCTCGAGTACCATTAGTTTTTGACAAATTTAGCGCTTTTTTGGAGCCAAAAAAAAATCAAAAAAACTGCGAAAAAATTTTAAATTATTTTAAAATGTTTTAATTTTTTTTTTCGTTTTTCTAGTCATTTTCTACAAAATGTTTTTCAATTTGCTTATTTTACTATAACTGTCAAACATGCTGAATCTCTATTTTTTCATTCAGCTCGTTCTATCACACCGCGCAGAAAAAAAACGACACTAACTTGAATTTTTTTTGCAGTATTCAAAGACTTTGGTTGAAGATTCTGTGCTACTTGCTCAGTAACCGGTTATCCTTGTTATGATTTCATTTTTTCTTTCGATCTTAAAATAAAAATGATTGCAGACATTTTCCTCATTCTCCTTTAAAACCAATATTTTCGAATTCTTGGTAAAAAAAATTGATATCTTGAAAAATGAAGAGTTTTTCTGAAATTTTTAATCATTCTAAAGAATATGCTTCTCCTTATAAACAACCTTTCAAGATCAATTTGATCTTTTAGGGCAAAATTTTATCAAAAAATATCGAACAATTATGATCCAGATATTATAAGCTGAACATAGGTTGCTTTTTTATTCTAAATCCGTGTCTGATTAATTGTGAAAAACATCTTTTTATAAAAATCGTTTTTTTAATTTTTTTTTGCCATGGTAATTACTCAAACCATTCTATGTCACTTGCAAAACCAGCCACCATTTTCTACGCTTTTTATGCATCAATTGTCGATGTGACAGTCAGTTAATTGAACTTGACTACTAGCTTTTTTACGGTTTGCTAGTTTTTATCCATTACGGCTGTATCTGGAATCTAAAATAGGAAGTTCTATTTTTGAAGTAGAAAACCTGATACATTACATTCAATGAATTTCTATAGCAAGAAAGAGAACGAAATTTCACGCATAATTTAAGTGAAGCTGTAAAAATTTTCTGAAGACTTCGTTAAATATTGAATGCGAATAAATCAAAAATCATTTAGTAATGTCGCTCATAAATTTGAACGAGGCGCCAAAATAACCAAACGCTTTCAGAAATGCATGTTTTTTTTGTGACGTTTTAATTGGTGGCTTAACATCTTTAGAACCCGCAAAACATTTCACTTGATACGACTGTAAACAAATCAGATGAAAAATTTTAAAAAAGGTGACCCGTTTGACCACACACCTCTTGATTCTATTTATACCATTTTTAATATGCAGTTTAATAAAAAAACAGGAGATACACGTTCGTCAAAACAATCAAATTTTTCATAAAACAGTCAACGGTTTTATATCTTGTCAAAGTGAAAGCTTGGCGTCTCAACACGCTGCTGTTTCCGTTTAAAATTATTTTTGATAATTTTTAGTTGAAAGGCTAGAAAACGAAATACATTTATTTTGTATTCCGATTTTTGTCACTAAAAAAGTGAGTTTTTTGAGACCAGATGTGTTATCTTAAGCTTTGTGTTATCTTAAAGCACTTCTTTGTTCAATTTGGATCCCAAAAAGATGTTACAAAAATGATTCGAGTAAGGATTCCTTTTTTGTTTCGGCTTTAAAAGAAACGTCATGATGGAAACATCGCTTTTCTTCGGAAGTACCTACTGATCGTTTGTGACCGGATTCTGGTACATCAAAAAAACATTTCATTGAAAATTGTCATCGGCTTTTTTTAAAATAACGGACATTCAAAATTTGTAAGAATTTCAAAAATTGAACTAAACAATGTCCACCTCAAATCCACATTTGTATGCTGGCAATGCGTAAGCAATGGATGAAACCTTAGACCTACGTCCACTCAAATTTAAATAAGATTAATCGATGCTGATAGGTTTTTTTTATCAAACTTATCAAAAACAATTACCATTTCAATAATAACAAGAAATTTATTTCACCGCCTTTTAAGAGTTAAAATTGACTAATTCAAATTAAATGAATTATTCTTATAAGCAATTGTAAATTTAAACGTTTGACTGAAGACGAAGTGTCCAAAAAATATCGATTGGATAAATTATCTGATAGTAATTGGACAAATTGTCATTTTATAGTCAATCTCTAAATGTACAAGGTTTTTGGTGGCACTAGAGGCCAATTTTTTCCATTATAATTAATTAACTGTTTAGCCCTGTCTGGTCCACCTTTGTAGTTTGGAAGGGAAAAGTTTTCTCAAAATTTCTGTTGAAAAAATTTTTGATTTTTGTTTTTCAATTTGTTGATTTTACTATGACTGCCGAATATACCTAATATCCAGTTTTTTGTTCAGCACCTTTTATCTCAATACGCCGAAATAAAACGACAATAATTTGAAAAAACTTTGTTGTATTTATTAAGAATATGGTCGGATCATTCTGTGCTACTTGCACAGCAACCGGCTATCTTTTTTCAAAAATAGATTTAATTGGCTTTCAGAGAAAAGAGCTTTAATCTTTTCAACACTTTTTTGCTTGAATTTCTCTCTAAAGATTTGGATTTGATTTGGGGTTCTGCTAGTTATGACACGTAAATTAACCTGTAGGATAACTCCAAGCTGTTTGAGAATCCATGTCTCTAGCTCTGTCAAATTTAGAGGTCTGCCGTTCCTGGATGATGCCTCAAGGACCAATAGAATTGTTACTTTTTCAGAATTGAGCTGTGTGAAAAGAAACCTAATGTTGAGAATGGCAGAATGTTAAGAAAAAGGCCAAAAAGCTTTCCTCGCAGTATTTTTGGAGCTAGTTCAAGGCTACATCATACTAAAAAATTGTTTAAATAATCATAGTAACATCTGTCTTAGAACCATTTGGTTGCTTTCAAATTGTACGTTGCTTTCAAATTGTATGAAGAGTAAAGAAGCCCAAAGAAATTGTTTTTGCCAAGTCAAAAAACGTTTGTTTGAGTACAAAAATCATTTTGCGGTTGAAAAAAAAACACAAAAAAAAATTTTGGGGCAATTTCAAAAATACTGTAAAAATTTTTGTTTTCGCCATCAAAAAAATGCTAGTCATACAATTTCCATATATGAAAATTGTATGACTAGCACTTTTTTGACAAAAAGTTTTTCTTTTTTATTTAGTAAGATACACCAAAATTTATGCCAAAACACAATAACTTATCTGTAAAAGTCTACCTTATGGGACATCTGCTCGATGGGCCTTAGGGCCCGTGAGTCGATCCCTGTGAGTATCTTATGACTGATGCTTGTTATTTATATTTGCTCACTAAATAACTCAAACTCAAACTCAAACAAAACAAGAGAAAAGTTCTTCGAAAATTCGATGGCACCATTTTAGCAAAATGTATGAAATTTGTATGATTTTTTTTCTTTCATAAACTTAGTTTATGGAATTGTATGATTAGCATTTTTGGTCTATGGAGGTCAACCCGAAGTACTAGAAAACTCGGTTGCGGAATAAGTAGCTCAAAACGTTTTGATCACACTGGTATAAACAATCAAATTTTAGAGACAAGTTTGGAAAAATTGGAATAGTTTTTGTTTGCATTTACTTAGGTCTCAAATATTTGATAATCACTCGAAAGTGATATTGAATTAGATGAACAACCGAAAAAACTCAGTGCTAACAAAAGCTAACGTAACATTAAAAGTATCTTAGAATTGTGTTGTAGAACTTGTTTATTTAGTCTGAAAACCAAAAAATTATTCAGACCAGTTTTTCAGACATAATTGTGGAGTTTTATGGACTCCAAAATTTTCAACTTTTTTGGATTCCATATTACGGAAAAACCTTCCATATGAAACCACAATGGAACCCTGCTCATTTTTAGGAGGTTATTTGGGAAGAAAAACAATGGCAGAAATTTCGCCTTAGTTCCTTCCGAACGAAAGTAGTGTGGTCCTCCTGCAAACATGCAAACAGCACTTAAAATTTTGAGCATAATTAGTATTTTATTTCTCCCAAAAACTTTATTAAGATTCTATTTTGTTGAATCCTTATTCGCTTCATATAAACAAAATGCCCCTTTAAGCAAAACATATAAGCGATTGATCAGTATGGTATTTAGAGTCATACTAAGATCTATGAATTTATCACATCTTTGTCCGTAGAGAAAATTTATCTTGCAAGATCTAGCAAGGTTCTTAAATAAGAAGAATATTTTGCAGGTTTATGATGAAAACTTTGCTAGTTTTCAAAGATTTTGGTTATTGGTTACTTTGGAATAAAATCACAACTATATGTTCAAATTCATTCATTAGAAAAAAACTCTTAAAATTGCAAGCTCAGCAAATTTGCTCTAAAAATGTTTCAAATCAAGATTAAGGATAAAAAACAATGACATTGAATTGCGCCCATGGATTTTAATTAGTTAATGGATTTCTGAGACGAAAAGAATCCATTATAATCCATTACAGATGTAAAGCTCATCCATAATCCATTATAACTCATTATATTCCATTATTTTTGGCTCTGAAATCTATTTTATTTGTCAAGGTAACCGAATATATTGTCTATATTTAAATTAAAAATCTCTAATAGACCATTAAAATCTATTTTAAAGATTTCAGAAATAAGTTCGATTGTTTTGCAGAAATTTTGTAAGCTTTGCAAGAAATTCTATGCCCAGATTTTTTAAAATTATAATTAGCAACAAAAAGATTAAAATTCAAATCTATTACCGCATCATATTGTTCACACCCAATGTCCATTTTCCTCCACATTCCTTAAATTACCAACCCCGCCCTCCGTTCAACCATCAACAACCCCCCTCCCCCGCAGGAACGTGAGGGGAGGGGTTCAGCGACTGGCAATTTTGGTACAAAGAATTAACGTTCCACCTAAAAAATTGTTTATGTTGCCGCCAAAAGAGGATTCAAAAACCTTTTGACTGATCGACCAAAAAAAAGATGTAAAATAGTATTAACGGAGGGGGGGGGGGGTGTTTATGAGTATTTCGGAGGTCCTTTGGAGTTCGGTGGGAGCGTGCTACCTTTTTTACTGCGCGCTAAGTAATCTGTTTAATAATACTCACTGACAAGAGAAGATGTCGAACACCATGAAATCTTGCGTGACATGTTGTATTGCATAGAGAAACGCCAAAATCACAAACAGAAAGTCACAAACTGTCAAACTGAGGATGAGGATTCCCGAAGATCGCTCGTAGATCATTTTCCGGAAGTTGACCAGGAGATAAATTATAACCGAGAGGTTGAGAATTGAGCCAACAACAAAACAAATGAAATAAGCGATTCCGGTGGCAAAAAGATAGGGGTGAACTTCTGCTGTTGTAAAGTTGCTCTCCTGGTCTTTGGAAGTGTTCATTTTACTCGTTTTTAATTTCCTGTGTGGCTATAACTCTCAAGTAAGTTCAATTGTATAAAACGACTCAAAATATTTTAATATGGTGAAGAATTAATACTTAAATGGAAATCTGAAAAAAAAAAATTGGATGTAGAAACAATTATGGTGTTTTTTTCTCAAAGATCTCCAATTTAACTCTACTTGGTCAAGAAAACCCCATTTGGAAAATTCTCAACTCCTTTATTTTTTTGATGAAATCTGGGAATGTTAACCGGCAAGAAAAAATGGTTAAACACAGGATGCATCATTTTGTTGTTCACTGATTGGACAGTTCTTTTGCAGTATTTTGTTAAAAATACAGTTGAGATGGTAAATGAGGAGCCGTACTAAGGCAATAGAGCCTTATATCTTTGGTATAATTGAGCCATTTAGTCATTTTGTGAAGTGTGTTCTCTCAAAGTCATCATAAAATGAATGCTGCAATATGGTTCACCGAAGCGCACTTGTTTTTTCATTCGCAAGTGATTATTTTCCAGCGAAGTGTAAGAAGTATCAATAAATGCTAAAAATAGACGACTTAAAACAGAAAACGGTGATTAGGACATCTAGCTACCAGCGTTCGAGAACTTTGAAGAAAAAAATGTAATTTCGAACCATAAAAGTATCTTGATTTATAGAACACCGCGTTTTTGATGAACTCGTGGAACAAAAGTCCATATATGGAACAAAAATTAACATATGATATGGAGCAAAATGGCTGAGAATATTTATGAAAAGAGGCTGAGAATGACCTAAGAATCAAGCCACAGCCGATTTAGGATTGCTACACCGCTACTCGAACCTAATGTAACAAATTTTTCGCCGTCAAATTATTTTACTCTCGCGGATCTTTTGATGTAAAGTGCTGTTTTGGGTGTTCCTGTGTTTGCCATCATGGAAACTAATGCGCTACCATACACATCCTTGCATGGTTTGTATGGAAAAGGACAAATCACACGTCGCACAAAAAAAAACTCCATTCTCAAAATAGCTGTTTCACTGACAAAATGACCGGAGAAACAGTTTTGTGCAGTTACAGGATTTTCAAAAAACTTTCGAAATTTTGTCGAATTTTTTTTTAGGTCGACCAAATTGATTTTCCGAGCTCTCCCAAAGCATTGAAAAGACCCTAAATCCACTGGTGGGGCATTTTTTAAAAAAATGTAAATTTTGTCAACCTTTTTTAGGCCGCCCAATTTGATTTCCGAGCTCTCGGAAAACACTATAAAGACACTTTTTTTTTAAAAAATTTCTGCGCTGCAGGCAAATTTTTGAAAACACAGGCTAAAAATTACGTTTTGCGTTAAACAGGTTAAAATTGCGTTTTTTCGGCGCGCGCTCGCCCCTAAAATTTAGTTATATTAGCGCCCGAGGCGTCTTAAGACATTTTTTGATGTTGACCACCCAAAAATGGTTCTCATAACACTATACCAATGAGGTACCCTTTGGAAAAACTTGACAAACAGAACTGAGGGATGCAGTACCCCCCTGCATCCCCCTTGGCACGCGACTGCCTACCAGAATTTCAGTAATCATTTTACAAACAACATTATACACACACAACAGCCAGCATCACAATCATTTTATTTTGCTGAACACTTCAGTTTGTAGGCGTATGATTATTTTGGAAAGCTTAAGCTTCATAGCGATTGTTTGTTTGTTTTTCAGTTTATGTTTCATGCATATCAAAAACAAACGGACTTGATCAGCCCCCTAAATTTTTTTTTGAAAGTAAATTGATCAGCCAAAAAACAATACTCAAAAGGATATCAAAAAGTAACAAGATTAGCCAGTTACTGTGCAAGTAGCACAGAATGTTCCGACCACAGTCTTAAAAAAACAAAAAATTGTTCTTTCAAACTGGTGTAGTTGTGATAAAAAGATATGAACGAAAAAAAACTTAGACGTTTTTGAGAATCATAGAAAACAATTTTTCAAGAACCAAGGCCAGAAAAACGAAAGAAAAAAAATTAAATTATTTGAGAAAATTTTTTTAGGAATTTTTTGAAATTTTGATTACCAAAAGTGCACTAAGAAACTCCAAAATACCTTTATTTAAAGAAAAATAAATTTTTCACGGCTTAAAATTACCTTAAATAAACTATCGTAAGCCTACACGGTCACATTATTAGCTCGAAATTAGATTAAAAGTCAAAAAGTTCAGACTTTTGTTGTTGACACTGTAAAAAATCTTTCAAATTTTGTTAATGTCGTTCGAATCAAGACTAAAAAGGCTTCAATATGATAAACCATTTGACCAATTCCGATGATTATTTGTGGTACCTGATTTTGCGTGGAAAACAAAAAAAAAGAAAACCAGAGAAAAAAAATAAAACACATCCGAACACAAAGCATCCCCTCCCCATTTTCAATGGCCACATCAAAGACTTTTCCTACGCCCCAATGTTCTGGGAGTTAACTTTTTCGTATATTCAAAAAAAACTGACATGATGAATAAGATGGCTACTCCAAACGTAATTGGACCTCCTGTATTACTTAGTAAAAACAACTGATGCAGAGGAAAATTGATGTTATACAAGGCGAAGGGAAAAAGAGCCAATGACAGTCATTGTAGATATGATAAAATTTATTTCAACGGTTAAAAGTTTTACCCTAAATCCTAGAATTAAAAACTTAAGAAAAAAACAATTACTCCAGAAAAATAGGGGCATATCATATGCGACTTACTAGTTTTGTTTTTGAGCGTATTTCTTAAAAAGCGTATGTCTTTTAGAACAAAAAATATCAAACAAATGTTTTAGGGCTCCCAAAGAAAGAAAAAAAAGGAGCCAACGTCTAAATAGATAGCTGTTGTCTAAATAACGATAAATATGTAACCCTTGCTGCACATTTTAAATTTTGCAACAGTTTTTTTCCTTAAACTGCTCCGACTTTCAAAGAACATCCAAACTCATTATTCCGATCTTCGAAGAAACCGGAATACTTATATTAGGTGTGTTTTTTCAGGTGAATTTTTAAGAATCAAAGTCATAATTTTCAACAAAAAACTTTTTTGCCCCATCAAAGTTATCAAGTTCTAAATCAAAGTGTATAAAAATATTTTACCTCCAATTGTCTTTTGCAAAGTTCTGCTGGTTTGAAAATAGTCAATTTGGCCAAGCATGGTCCAAATTATTAATGTTTTGATGCTGAAAATGTAAGTTAATTAACATATTTATGGCGGATTATCCCGCACAACAAAAATATTCAAAATTGAATTGAATTGAGGCTAGCTAAGTGGTCGTATCATTTTCGTACGACTTATAATTTCGCACTCGATCTTCGGTACAATCCAAACAGATTTACATGATTTTTTTTAACCGAAAACTATGCGATATGGATTAAGAGGCCCATACATGAAAATGCTTGAGCCATTTTCCTGCATATAATTCTATTAAAAACTTTTTTTGATGATAATTGTGTATGGAATTAAGTATGGAACTCTTTGTATGGAATTGTACGAAAATAATCATACGATTACAAACACAGAGTTGCGTACACAATTCCATGCACAATTGTTTTACAAGTCTATACAAAAACAAGGTTAGCGATTTACTGTGCAAAATGTTCCGACCATAGTCTTAAAAAATACAATTTTTTGTTTCAAATTATCGTAACTTTTCTGCGGGGTATAAAAAAAACGTGAACAATAACAAAAATAAAGCAAATGCTACAGTCACATGCAAATAGGTCAATTCGAAAACACATTTTTTGCAGAAAATTGGCTAGAAAAGGAAACAAAAATAATGAAAAAAAATGTAAATATTAAGCTTCTCGAGTAAATCTCAAATTTCACGGCTTAATTTAAGCTCAAATAGGCTATTGCGAGCCCGCACCTCTCCTTTTTTGCTCGAACTTGGACTTAAAATCAAAAAAAATTCAAGCTGGTTTTTCTCGCAACACTGTGAAAAAAAATTCAAAATTTGTTAACGCCCTTCAAATCACGACTGAAAGGTTTTTTATATGATATATCATTCGACCAAATTCGATGATTATTATAAGTATCCGATTTTGAGTGGAAAACGAAAAAATAAGAAAAACAAACAAAAAACTAAAACACATCCGAAATCAAAAACCCTACCCATTTTCAATGGTCGGAATAAAAAGTTTTCCCCAATGCTCTAGTATTTAACCTTGTCTCATCTTCCTTAAAAAGAACCGACATGCTGAATAACATGGCTACTCCAAACGTAATTGGATTTCATGTTTTACTTAGCAATAAAAACAATTATTTGATTCATCCGTTGATTTTTGGTGGTACCTGATTTTGCGTGTGAAACAGAAAAAAAAATTACAAACCCGAATACAATTTTTTTTCTCTTAATTTCCAAATAGTCGGAACTAAAACAATTTTCAACAAATCCAGAAAGGAGAAATGTTTGTCATACATTTCCATACACATATTGTATAATAAGTTTTTTTCACATGCCTTTCTACAAATCCAAACATAGTTTTTAAACAAACCTGTGACTCTCGCGTCCAAAACGAAAAACTGCTACTTTTTTGATGATCACGACTGTAAAATTATATAAAAAGTGAATTTTGCAGTTCAATAAAAAACCATAGTAGAAAATCAACAAACTAAAGTTGAGTGTTCAAGGAGAGTCTCGAATCAAAAAGTTTTAGGACTCACAAAAAAATATGAAAATCCGTTTTGTTCCGCCCCTCCGACCGTTAAAACAATAAATTATGTCTGGCAAGTTTATGAGTAAATTTCCGCCTCAATTTTTTCTTTTGAATTTGCTTTTTTGTCCAACATTGTCAAAAGTGCTCATTTTTGTCGCGCCAATTCACTCCATCAATCCAAAAACTTTTTACTCCTCACTTTGCAAGAATGCCTCGATGAAATTTTTAAGGGATCACTAGTGTTAACTTTTCATTTGCAAGCAAGCAAGCAACAAAAGACCGTACAGTTTGTTCATAATAACTACCCTAATTATTCAAAATCTTTGAATCAATAGAACAAGTTTTCGAGCAAGCTTAGCTCAAACCACGATATCCGTCTGACACCAAAACCATTAATTGCAACTTCACAAAAAAGCAAAGTATCATTTAATGTTAATGTACAATGTCAAAAACCGCCACATTGTTTGGCTAATTAGTTCAAAAAAAAATTAACAAAAAGAGAGGCAAAACTTAGAAAAAAACACTAGTTTTTACATTATATTAATTCACTCTCCAGTTTTCGTATAAAAAAATTACGAAAAAATGGCGATGTTTTTTTTTCAGTTTGTATAAACTTCTCAAAAAATTAAGAATCATCAATCAGGAATTAGGAAGCGTATTTTGGAAAAAATCACGAAGGTCGTCAATTACAGAATTTTTAAAAGCAACTAAAACGCATAGTTTTTTTCGTAAGGTATATCTGTCACTTTAGTGTCTTGGTTTGATATCCTTCGGTTCTACAGCTCTGGAGGTCTTGCAGTGGTCACCTCTATTGGTATCAGGCATTCTTTAGATCAAGGTTTTTTTTGAGAGCCTTAGATGAAGAAAGTTGACCTCGGTCAGAAGGCACTTAACTCGCTAGGAAAGTACTCGAAGAAATCCAAACCAAAGTTTCAAAGTTATAACTAAAAATAACAGATTAATTGGAAATGAAATATACAAGAAAATGTTCACAAAAAATTTAGAGTAAAGTGACAAACTGAGCTCCCTGTCCATTCAAAATAACAATTCTGCTTGTAACCTACCTTCAAATAAAACTTATCGGGGCACAATTACAACAGAAAACCAAGAAACCTTAAACCTAGCCAAACATTATTTAAAATCGAAAACAACAGATTACCAGGAAATAATTTTGCACAACAACTGCATGCGTTTGATTCAAAGCGACACTTTCACAGTGCTCGAAACTTTAAAAAATTACTTCGAGTGTTATCAAAGAACAGTGTAACAAAGAGCAGCAGGATAAGCAGCAATAATCATATACTAGTCAACTTAAGTCCAGAAGCTAGCCAAAGTTACTATCGAGGAAGTTGAATAACTAGAGGACGTTTCCAAAATCAGGACGTTTCCAGAGTTTTATAGGAGCTGATCAAAACTGGCCCTAGCACTGGCCCTTTTGAATTTTTGAATTAAACAGGATAGCGCTAGAACTCAGATGAACACGCAGTTACCAACTCAAAAAAAAATTCCGTCAAAAATGGCTAATTAAAAAGTGGAAATTTTTCTGAAGATAAAAACCACCTCGAGCACAAATATTCCGTTACTTTCGGTACAAAAGTTGGAACAATTGGCTCAATATGACCGAGTTTATTCTCCGGGTTTTCCAGTTTTACGTTAACTTCGGTAGAAATTGTGGTGAAATTCAGTCTTCGATTCCCCTGACTAGATTTGTGTTTGGATGACAATTTTTTGTCATTTAACCAACAAGGAAGTCAAATTAGCATAAAATGTCTGCAGTCAAGTTGAGATCAAGATAAGTAACACAAGGAAATAAAGAAAAAAGGTTATCAATCAATGTCATTTCACCCAAAATGGTGTTGATGGAGACCCTTGCCCCCGGGAACAACAGCTATCTTCGCCTGTCAGAAAATCCTGTAAACAAGACTATTCTTGACAATGAGGAGTTAAATTTCCTGCTGTGTAAATCAATCAATACTTTCAACAATAGCGACAAGAAACAGTGTAAATTTTATTAAAAATCTTCAATTTCGTCCAACATTTGAATGAGCAAAAAAACATTGACAAAGTTATTTGAAGCACATTTTGTAAATTTGCAAATTGTTGTAGCTTTTCATTCATGTAGAGTTGTAAAGGGAAAAAATAATGGTTACTGGCAAGGGCAGATCTAGGATTTTCTCGAGAGAGGGGGGATGTGATTTTTAAAAATAGTCGAAAACTTTGTAGACATGTTTTACAGATCGACTAAAATGATTTCCCGAGTTCTCCCAAAGCAGTAAAAAAAAATCGGTGGTTTGGACACATTTTCCCCGCCGCAGGCAACACTTTTTTGGCACACTTGAAGGCACACTTGAAGAAAAAAAGGCGCTTTTAGGCCTTTTTTGAAATTTATTCAAAAATCGCGTTTTTCGAAGCACGCTCTTTCCCCTCAAAACACGATAATATTGGGGGCCAAAAACGCCTTTAGAAAAATTCTAGGGCCCGTCAGCCAAAAATGGAAATCACAAAATACTAAAAAGGCGGCACAAATGGGGGACCAATTGACAAATGTCCAAACAACTTCAAATTTAAAACTTAACTCAAATTTGGAAATAAAATTTGCTACAATGTACCGTCGTCTTTGTCTTCCGGCTGGAACTGTTTGTAAACCTCCTGCCCCTGAGTCATTCCTAACGATGATTGTCCCTTTTTTTCTTCGCCCGACAAGTCCTTTCAATAAGCCACAAAAGTTGCATGTAACTCCTTTCGCTGCACATTATTTCATTTGTTCTCTCGTAAATCCCGGTTAATCGCAGTTGTAGCACATACCACCCGCCATGGTAGTTCTCCCTCGGAATTGTCCTCGCCCTCTGATTGAACCACGTCCTCACCCTCGGCTGTTCCTGTATCCGCCCCTGGTTGTCCCGACCGGTTCCGTGTTGATTTGTAGTCGTCCGCCCGAAAGTCCGCTTGTAGTTGCTCCGCCAACTTCGAGACATACGTCTTTGTGTACTTTTCCCCCGCTCGTACGACAGCGCTATTCGATACACTTCCTCTGGTGTTTTTGACTATCTATATGGCTCATTTAGGGCTTCACGAGTTGTCGTGCTCACGATGAACACGTCCCCCAAAATCTGGATTTCTAGTGTTCCGAAGTTGCAACTCGCCGCGAGACCGCTAAGCACTGAGTGAAATTGCTCCAGAGCTTAGCCGATCCGCTGTTTTAGCGATAGCAGTTAGAATACCTCATAGTTCTCGTTCCGTTTTTTTTGAAATCTCCCTCGGTCGATTCCAGCACCCTTGGATAGCGTCAGGCCGCCAAATCTAAGTGCGGTCCCCCTTTATGCACTTTTTGTCCTTTTCCCGCAGGAACCAGCAGAGATTTGAGTTCAATGTTCGCGCCGATTCCATTCTAATTTTCACGTCCACGTCAGCCGCTGAAGCCCCTATTTGCGCCGTAGTAAGGGTGTCCGCAATGTAAAAACGTGCTGGGTTGATGAAGTGTTTTGCAACCATTCCCCAAGCAATTCATCCAGAATTTTCAGAGCATCGGTGGTTCGGCGTGTTTCGGTGACAAGAATGACGTAATCCCAAGTGTGTTTTCCCCCGCTTTATCCTACTTACTGTGCCATGTTGAAAAGCTTTATTCGATAAGTCTTATTAAGTCGCAAGGTACTCAATTGTATCTATGATCAAAAAGATAATATTTTAGCGGTTACCCGGCAAAGTCAGACACTCCTAAGGCTAGTTCTTGTCAACAGGGCTAGCATGGAAGAAAAATTAAATCATTGACAGATTTAAAAATAGACATGAACTATTTTGATCTTGAAAGACGAATTTAACGTCTGTGGCACGTGTATACTTTTGCATTCTCCAAAGTAAATGATAATGTTTGATTAATTGTTACAAAATAAATTAACTTTTGGTTTATTCACGACTGAAGGTTTATTTTTTTTTGTTTTAGTTTTCTGTTTTTGTGGTGACGATTTTGTCGTTGCCTCGGAAAATTTGCTTAAAGACTGTTTCTGAACAATGTGTAAGCCATCTCGTGACGATCCTGTATTTGATCAGCAAATCTGATGGCCTAGCTAACTGCGCATTCAAAACAACATTTACACTGAATGGTTTTGCTGTATGCATCTGTTTTGTGAGAAAAAAGATCCGATACAAATTCATTTCTTAATCTGCTCAACTCAAGTTTCGACCATGCTCAAGGTATGTTTCGACCGTGCTCGAGATATGTTTTGACTGTGCTCGAGGTATGTTTCGACTGTGTTCGAGGTACGTTTCGACCGTGCTCGAGTTATCTTTCGACCGTGCTGGACTGTGCTCGACCGTGCCGACTATGCTCGAGGTAATATTTCGAATTTATGCTCGACCCAAACTCCTGTCTCGACTATTCTTTTGCGGTCGAGCTCTGATATGTTCTCGACTTTGAAAGAATGTGAGAACCTCGACCTGGGTAGTAGCGCTTAGATGCGACCATTTACCTCTCTGAACCAAATGGTGACTGAGTTATCTTTCACCCTGATAACAAATTAAATTAAAGCTCGCACGGGTTAATCCAAATTAGTTGAGTCAGAGATCCATATGTTTTTAATAATGTCCCCCTTAACCTCAAACTCAAACGGATATCAATGGCGCATGCACGATTCTGCATTGTGTAACATACGAACGAAGTTTCAAAGAGGTATTTTTAAAATTCATACAAAAAGGGTGGAATTAGAAGGATGTATTTTGAAATCAATTTAGCAATTAATACAGCAGTATAGTCAACTATTTTTTAATTAGGATTGTTTCAGCAAACTTATTTTTGCAAACAGGAAAATATTCAACACAATGACCGAAACTAGTTGGTATTCTTTTGGTAAATTATACAAGTTTTGAGTAGACAAGCTGTTATAATTTACTTAGTGACAAAACTTCTACAACTACCATTTCACCAATGTGGGTCTAATTTAAAATGCGGACGAATCTCAAAAGTTCATTACAAACAATTTATAAACCTGAATGCGGACTTCAAGAACGGAACACTCAAATTTAGCTCAACTCAAGCTTACTAATAATTTTTTAATGATTTCTGTGATTTCTAGAGGATATATACAAGGCTATACTAGCCTGTATATGGATAGTACCATCCAAAAAAAGCCAGGCTTTGGTAGCCATAATTACGAAGGTCAATTGAGAGCTATTGCTATGGCAGATTATCTGAAACATGATCTGACTATCTCTAAAAACTAGGGATCTATGTAAATCAATTTGCTTTGAAACTTGACATCCGAGTTTATATTGGTCTCGAAAAGTTTTTAAAATGCTGTGTTTGAATAAACTCAGAGCAAATAAAATCAGAATAAACTGGACGGTTTTCATAATTTTGTCGACCTTTTTTTTGGGTCGACCAAATGGATTTTTCGAGCTGTTTTGAAAAATTTTGAAAATGTCAATTGAAAGCTCAAAAGGCCAATTGAGAGCTATTGCTATGGCAGATTATCTGAAACATGATCTGACTATCTCTAAAAACTAGGGATCTATGTAAATCAATTTGCTTTGAAACTTGACATCCGAGTTTATATTGGTCTCGAAAAGTTTTTAAAATGCTGTGTTTGAATAAACTCAGAGCAAATAAAATCAGAATAAACTGGACGGTTTTCATAATTTTGTCGACCTTTTTTTTGGGTCGACCAAATGGATTTTTCGAGCTGTTTTGGTCAAATTTTCTGCGCCGCAGGCAAAACTTTGAAAAAACAGGCCAAAAAAAGGCATTTTTAGGCAATTTTTGGAAAATTTTGACCAAAAAAATTGCATTTTTTCGGCGCGCGCTCCCACCTTAAAATTGAGATATGTTGACGCCGAAGGTGTCTTCAAAAAAATTTAGGCTCTGTCATCAAAAACGAATATCTCAAAATAGCACAAAAGGGGACTCGTTGGGTCGGCAAGGAGCCGAATCCTTGAGGGAAAAGCGTCCACCCCCCCCCCCCCCTAATTCCAACCTTGATAGCAAAAACGATGTTTTTAGTTCGTCAGAGTGGCCAAAGAAAGTCGCATGCGCGGATGATGTTGACTTCTTCAAGAGAGGCGGTGAGTGAGTATTTTGTATGAGGTCATATAGT